AGCTGCGCAGTTCACCCAGGTCTGTGCACGTGTGTCTCTTCAACAGCTCGGACTTCACGTAGGCGAGTCCAGCAGTGTCCGCTGTGGCAAAGACCAGGTCGTCGACGTACACGAGGATGTAGAACGGCGGCAGGGAAGTGTCGGTGCGAAGAAACAGCGACGGGTCAGCAGTAGAAGGAGCAAACCCAAGAGCCGCAAGTGTAGTCCTCAGTGTGTCGTGCCACTCACGCGGTGCCTGGCGGAGACCGTAGACTGGCCGTCGGAGGCTCCACTGGGTGCCAGGAGGGAAAGTCCCAGTGAAGCCAGGTGGACGGCGAAGCCAGATCTCCTCGTGCAGGCTACCCTGCAAGAACGCAGTGCTGAAGTCGAGAGAGTGAAGCTCGTAGTCGCGCTGAGCGGCTATGTGCAGCAGCACCCGAAGAGTAGTCATCTTCGGGGTGGGAGAGAAGGTCTGAAAGTAGTCAACTCCCTGCCGCTGACTGAAGCCACGAGCAACGTACCGTGCCTTGAAGACAGGTGGAGAGCCCGGCGGCCGCTTCACCCTGAAGATCCACATGCCACTGACGATGTTCGCCCCAGGAGGGGGAACTGCGTCAACGTAGGTGCCTGTGGACTTCCAGGAAGCCATCTCTGCATCCATAGCTGCCTGCCACTGAGAGGAGTAGGGACCCTCTACGGCCTCCGCGTAAGAACGCGGAGTCGGGATGTCTAGTGCATCCGGGTCTCCCTCAGGGGCAAGCAGTACAGACGCGAGATGAGGTGAAGCAGCCGCTAGACACTGTAACTCCTCCTGCCTGTCCTCTAGGACGTCCGTGCCAAGAGCACACTCACCCCCGACGGACGGAGGACAGACAGACGCAGACTCAGCAACAAGACTAGCAGCGTAGTCGAGACGACAGCGAGCAGCAAAGTCGACGAGCTCAGCGACTAGAGCAGACGCAGCAGTGGACTCAAAAGAGGGGTCAGTGACGACAGTAGCAAGCAGACGCGTGACAGTGGGACTGGCAGCACGAAGAGAGTCCGACTCAGGGTCCGCAAGCGCAGGAAGAGAGGACTCAGGAGGAGAAGGCAAAGGGGCACGCAGAGGAGCAGTGGACGGACGTAAAGACATCCGGTGCGTGCCAGGGACAGGAGGAGGACGCTGACGCGAACTGCGACCACTAGCGCGAGCAGCACGAACAGGCGACGCGGGACGAGACGCAGGCTCACGACGCTCAGCAAGACCTCCAGTAGGACCAGTGTAAGGAGAGGGAGCAGGCAGCGGAGAGGAAGGCTCCAGTAGGGGCTGCGACTGGACAGGCGGTGGACCCTCTACTGGAGGAGAAAGACCAAGAACCTGCTGAAGGAGCGGAACGAAGTACGGCCGAGGCCGCGCGGCAGCTCCAGACTCAGCAGGGACAGCACCAGCACCCTCAGCGACAGCACCAGCGCCACCCACACCTCCAGCGGCAGGACCAACAGCAGCAGGCTCAGCACGAACGCCCTCAGCAGCTCCAGCTCCAGGAGGACCCGCAGGGCCAGCAGCTCCGGGAACGGCTGCACCCGCACCCTCGACGGTCGAAGAAGCTCCAGCTCCAGCTCCAGCAGCACCTCCAGACTCAGCAGCACGCCTCCAGCGGCGAGCGAACCACTCGCGCAGCTCCTGTGGAGAGAGGGGCTCCCGGCGAGACGCAGCAGCAGGAGAAACCCCAGGCTCAGCAGCTCCAGACGCAGCACCCCCAGGCTCAGCAGCTCCCGACCCAGCACCCCCAGACCCAGCACCTCCAGGCACAGCACCCCCCGGCTCAGCACCCCCAGGCTCCGCACCCTCCGCAGTAGCACCCTCAGGCCCAGCACCCCCAGCAGTAGCACCCCCAGGCTCAGCACCCCCGCGCACAGCACCCCCAGAGTCAGCACCCCCAGGCTCAGCACCCGCAGCAGCACCAGAGTCACCAGTAACCTCGACCGGGTCAACGGCGTCTACCTGGGACACACCTGAGGGGGCAGGAACCTGAGGGGGGAGGGGGTCTACCGGGGGGGGAACCGGCACAAGGAAGTCCGGGGGAGGGGGGAGGGAAGGAGTGCGGTAGGGGAAGAGACGGTAGAAGGGGACTGACTCGTCGAACGTGACGTCCTGGGAGGACAGAACACGACGAGAGGAGGGGTGGTAAAACTGCCACCCTGGGGCGTCAGTGGGGAAGCCAAGGAAGACACAGGGAGCAGCACGAGGGGACAGCTTGTCCGCAGACAAGTCGCGGACAAACGCCCGAGATCCCCAGACACGGAACACAGACGCATCGCCAACCTTCCCCGTCCACAGCAAGGCTGGGGACATCGCTGGCCGAGAGACCCGGGGGTGAAGGTTGAGCTGATGCGCCGCGTACCTCACCGCAAACGGCCACAGAAAATGGGGGGCAGCCGCATGCATCATGGACGTACGAGCGACATCCATGACCATGCCAATGCGGCGCTCAGCAATCCCATTTTGCTGTGGTGAGTCCGGAAGCGTGAAGGTCTGGCGGATCCCCCGTGCACGACAGTAGTCTCGCAGAAGGCGAGAAGAGAACTCTCCGCCTCTGTCAGAGTGCAGACGCAGAACAGGAAAGTCCGAGCCGAAGCTCTTCCTGAGCTGGAGACGAGCCTCGCGGATCCAGTCGATCAGCACCTCAGTGACTGCACCCTTGCTGCGCAAGGGGAGGACTGTGGTGTAACGCGAGTAGTCGTCAACCACCAACAGGAAGTAGCGCTCGTACCCCTGCCCACGGACGGGGGCTGGGCCCCACACATCCATGTGAAGCGTCTGCAGGGGAGACTCTGTCGGGGGGAAGTGGGAGGAGTGAGGAGTAGCCCGGAGGCGACCCTCGACACAGGGGACACAGGAAGGTCCTGGCCCGGAGGGGAGAGGAGGGAGAGACTGGGGAAGACCAGAGACAAGGACACGGGAAGCCATGCTCCGAAGACGGGGCAAGGAGGGGTGGCCAAGACGGTGGTGCCACAGGAGAGTCTCGTGAGACAGGAGGCGACAAGAACAGGGGGCAGACTCAGGACCTGACCGGGACGCAGCAGCAAGTACCTGACTCGACGCAGCCACCTGACCAGACGCAGGGACAGGAGGAGACTCAACGGTCAGGGTGTAGAGACTCGACCCCGGCCGACGTGAGAACGTGGCCAGGTGTCGGCCTGTGCGAGCCTCCGTGCAGTGGGTCACCCTCTGACGCGCAGGAGTGAACTGGTGAACACCCCCATCCTGCAGGTCCGCTCCACTCACCAAGTTCGTAGAGAACGAGGGAAGGTACAGACCCGACAGGGTGCCCGAAGGGGCAGCCGGACACGGGAGGACAGTGGAGAAGTGAGACAGGACAGGACCCCCAGAGGGGTCAGCAAGGGAGACCGCAACCGGCCTGGCGAGCGGCGAAAGGGTAGTGCGGTCTCGAAAGAAGGAGCGCGAAGCTCCGGAGTCAAGTGTGAAAGTGAGGGAGGACGAGGACGACTCAGTACCTGAGAGCGCAGTCTCACCAGTACCTGAGAGCGCAGACGCACTGGCACCTAGAGCAGCAGCCTCACAAGCACCTAGTGCAGCAGTACCAATGCCCGGGTCGGGCTGAAAACACCGGTAACCCTCATTCTCCTCACTATAATCCACAACATACATAGCAGTAAGGATAGCATCAAAATCAAGATCAAAGATCGCTACACCAGCCCTGAGAAGCTCATCCCAGCGAGGGATCTCACTAGCCCCAGGGAACTGCTGACGCCAAGCGTCCGTCAGGCGGCCAAAGCAGCGCTGGGTGGCGTGGGCACCCCCACACTGCTCACCCGCGCGGTCGCCGGAACGAAGAACGTAGGTGCAGGGACCAGTACCCCCACCCCTCTGACGCCCAGCGTACCACTCACGAAGCTGCTGAGGCGAAGGGATGTCCCGCGAGCGCTGCTGCTGCTGCCGGTGCGAGCGCTGGCCACTACCACCGCCGCTACGCTGCTGGGTACCACCCCGACCAGCTCCACCTCCTCCACCACTACTGCCTCCTCCGCTGCCGCCTCCACTGCCTCCACCTCCGCCGCCTCCACCTCCGCCGCTGCCTCCACCACCACCGCTGGCACCACCACCACCGTCTCCGCCGCCGCTGCCGCCACCACCACCACCACCCCCGCCACTAGCCCCGCCGCCACCCCCACTCCCTCCGCCGCCACCGCCGCCACCGCCACCGCCCCCTCCAGCTCCACCCGCGCCCTTGCCCCCCTTGCCCTTGCTGGAGCGACGTCTCCCACTAGGGGCAGACGCCGCGCCGACCGACTCAAGACCAAGCAGGTCGGCAGCAGCAGCAGAGGCAACAGAGGGCAGCAAGGGGGAAGGAGAGCACCCCTCAAAGATGGGGGTGCGAGGGTCACCACGAGAAGCACCTACAGCGACTATGCTCTTCTCCGCTGCAAGGAGGGCCTTCTCGAGGAGGTCGACGGTGAGAGTGGTGGGACAGACTGCGAGAAAGTGGTCCCTGACGACGCGAAGGGAGTCAGGGAGGCGTGCGACTACGTAGTAGAGAGCGATGTACATGGGGGGGGGGTTCTTAGCGCAGAACTCAGCAGGAAGGGCGGCGCGGTAGCGAGTGTCACTAGTGCGGAGGTGCGTAATGAGGTCAGCGACAGTGGGAAAGGCAGAGAGGTCAGGAAAGAGGTAGGGAAGCATGAGACGGCTCAGTGCAGCAGTGGCAGGGGAGGAGTAGCGCGCAACTACAGCGTCGTACAAGGTCTGAGCACTCTTGTACTGACTAAAGTGCGCACGCTCAGGGGTAGGGAGGTGGCGACGCACAGCAAGACGTGCAGCAGCATCGCGGGTGGCCCACTTAGAGCGGACAGCGGGATCAGCATCAGCAGCAGGGGCAGGAGAGGCGCCAGAGGTGAGGTCAAAGAGAGAAAGGTCGTCAGCCCTGTCGCACTGTAAGAACAGCTGCAGGTCGTCTAACCAGACCTCAAAATCAATGGCGCGACCCTCAGCGTCAAAAGCTAGGACACTAGGGGTAGCCATGGTGACGACAGCGACGCAGTGCAAGCAGTAGGGAAAGAGCTCGCAGTGTCAGTGGGACAGTGCTCACCAGGCAGGGCAGGTCGTGCAGTCAGCAGAAAGGCGGCTCAGCGACCGGGCGGCTCGGGTGCACAGCTGCTCGGCTCCCGGGCGGCTCGGCGGCTGGGCGGCTCGGGCGCAGGGCGGCTCGGCTCCCGGGCGGCTCGGCGGCTGGGCAGCTAGGGTGCAGGGCGGCTCGGCTCCCGGGCGGCTCGGCGGCTGGGCGGCTCGGGTGCAGGGCGGCTCGGCTCCCGGGCGGCTCGGCGGCAGGGCGGCTCGGGTCCCTGGCGGCTCGGCTGTTGGGGCGGCTCGGCCGGGAGATGCAGCGTCGGGCCGGCAGGTGCAGCGTCGGGCCGGCAGGTGCAGCGGCGGGCCGGCAGGTGCAAGTGGCGGGCCGTAAGAGGCGGCGGGCCGATGGGTGCAGCGGCGGGCCGGTAGGTGCAGCGGCGAGCCGGCAGGAGCAGCGGCGGGCCGGCAGGGTGCAGCGGCGGGCCGGCAGGAGCAGCGACGGGCCGGCAGGGTGCAGCGGCGGGCCGTAGAGTGCAGCGGCGGGGCCGTCGGCAGTAGAGGCGGAGCCGCGTCAGAGGAGGCGGCTTGGCCGCGTCAGGGGAGGCGGCGGGGCCGCGTCAATGGAGGCGGCGGGGCCGCGTCAGGGGAGGCGGCGGAGTCGCGTCAGGGGAGGCGGCGGGGCCTCGGCAGGGGAGGCGGCGGGGCCGCGTCAGGGGAGGCGGCGGGGCCGCGTCAAGGGAGGCGGCGGGGCCGCGTCAAGGGAGGCGGCAGGGCCGCGTCAGGGGAGGCGGCGGGGCCGCGTCAGGGGAAGCGGCGAGGCCGCGTCAAGGGAGGCGGCGGGGCCGCGTCAAGGGAGGCGGCGGGGCCGCGTTAAAGGAGGCGGCGGGGCCACGTCAGGGGAGGCGGCAAAGCCGCGTCAGAGGAGGCGGCGGGGCCGCGAGTGAAAAGGCGACCCGAGGGGTCGCTAAAAAAAAGGGCGCGCCTCGGGGCGCGCGTCGGTGGGCCCAGACAACGGTCCTAAGGTAGGACCCGCTCTATACCATGTGAAAGTAGGAAAACAGGAATGAGTGAACTATGAATGAAAGCAGTACAAATATGAAACCCTAACTGGGTTGTACCCCCTATGGGATACCCCACTACAGCCTACACAGCAGTATAAGCTATAGATATGTTCTGACATAGTGTGCCGCAAGTGGAGGGGCAGGGCCGAGGCGCGCCTGCAAGGACAGGGCCGCGACAGCTGCGGCGGCTGGTGCGGCCCCGGGAGCGGCGGCGGCGGCCGTTACGGCAGCGGCGGCAGCAACGGCTCCGGGCGGCGGCGGCGGCGGCCGCGGTTCCGGCAGCGGCGGCGGCTGCTGTCACGGCAGCGGCGGTGGCGGCGGCTCCGAGCGGGGGCGGCGGCCGCCGCGGCTCCTGCAGCGGCGACGGCGGCAGTCACGGCAGCGGCGGCGGCGGCTGTTGTTGTCGTCGGCGGCGGCGGCTGCTGCTGTCACTGCACCGGTGGCGTCGGCTCCTGCTGTCAGCAGCGGCGGCGGCGGCGGCCCCGGTAGCGGTGGCGGCGGCGGCTGTGACGGCGCGACGGCTGCCGTTGCTGGGGCGACGACGGCCGGGCGGCAAGGCCGTGCAGAAGCCAAGAAGGGGCCGCTAAGGGCGGCGAAGGGGCCACGAAGGGCCGTGAAGGGGGCCGCGAAGGACGGCGGCGGGGCCGAGAAGGGGCCGCGCAGGGGCCGGGAAGGGCGGCGACGAGGCCGTGAAGGGGCCGTGAGGGGCCGCAAAGGGGCCGCGAGGGGCCGCAAGGGGCCGCGAAGGGCCGTGAGAGGGGCCGCAGAGGGCGGCGCAGGGGCCGGAAGGGGCCGCGAAGGGCCGCGAAGGGCCGCGAGAGGGGCCGCGAAGGGCGGCGCAGGGGCCGCAAAGGAGCCGCGAAGGGGCCGCGAAGGGCCGTGAGAGGGGGCCACGAGGGGCCGTAAGAGGGCGCGACGGGCCGCTAAGGGCAGGGGACGCGACGGGAGGGTAGGCACGCGCGGCGCGACTCGGGCAGGAGCGAAGCGCGCTCCAGGCAGGAAAAAAAATAAATCGATTTTCATTGGTGGGCCCTAGGAAACGTTCCCACTAGGGAACCTGCTCTGATATCATGTGAAGATTACGAGGAATGATTTACTAGTGGAAAAGTTGGGTACAAGTACAAACCCTAGAAAAGTGTTGTACCCCATATGTGCTACCCCACTATAGCCTACATAAGCTAAGTCATATAAGTCTGACACCCTGCCCTCCCTTCCCTACCTTCTCTCCCTTCCCGCCCTTCTCTCCCTGCCCTCCCTGCCCTCCCTTCCCTACCTTCCCTCCCTTCCCGCCCTTCTCTCCCTGCCCTCACTGCCCTCTCTTCCCTACTTTCTCTCCCTTCCCGCCCTTCTCTCCCTGCCCTCCCTGCCCTCCCTTCCCTACCTTCCCTCCTTTCCCACCCTTCTCTCCCTGCCCTCCCTGCCCTCCCTTCCCTACCTTCCCTCCCTTCCCGCCCTTCTCTCCCTGCCCTCCCTGCCCTCCCTTCCCTACCTTCTCTCCCTTCCTGCCCTTCTCTCCCTAACCTCCCTTCTCTTCATTCCCCCCCTACTTTCCCTGAGTCCCCTTTTCGAACCTTCCCTCCCTTCCCTCCCTTCCCTCCCTTCTCTCTCTTTTCTCCCTTCCCGCTCTTCTCTCCATTCCCCCCCTTCTCTCCGTGAGCCCACTTCTCTCCCTTCCCTCCCTTCTCTCCCTTCCCTCTCTTCTCTCCCTTCCCGCCCTTCTCTCCCTTCCCTACCTCCTCTCCCTTCCCGCCCTTCTCTCCCTTCCCTACCTCCTCTCCCTTCCCGCCCTTCTCCTCCCCCCCACCTTATCTCCGTTACCTTCCTTTCATCCCTTCCCTCCCTCGTCTCTCCCTCTCGACATCTCTCCCGTCTCTCCTTTCACTCCCTTTCATCCCTTGACTACCTTCCCTCCCTTCTCTTCCTTTTCTCCATTCTCTCCCTTAGATAGAATTCTCTCCGTTCCCTCCCTTTCTCACCCTTCTCTCCCTTGTCTCCCTTCCTCGCCCTTCACTCCCTTCCCTCCCTTCTCTCCCTGCCCTCCCTTCTCGCCCTTCTCTCCCTCCCCGCCCTTTTCTCCCTACCCTCCCTTCTCTCCCTGCCCTCCCTTTCTCTCCCTTCTCTCCCTTCCCTCCCTTCCCTCCCTTCTCTCCCTTCCCTCCCTTCTCTCCCTTCTCTCCCTTCCCTCCCTTCCCTCCCTTCCCGCTCTTCTCCCCACCTCTTTGATATGCCTTCCTGTCCCCCATCCTTCCTTCCTTACGCACTCCTCCTGCCATTCTCTCCTCTTGCAATCCTCACTGCCATCCCGCCTTTCCGCATATCCTGTTACCATGCCCCTTTCGATTCTCTTGTCGTCACCTCCCAAGCAACAGCGGCATTGCCATGGGAAATTTCAACATGCATCTCCCACCTACCCCCACCTACTCCTATCTCACCTCCCCTCCCCCTAACACCTACTCCTATCTCACCCCCCCTCCCCCTACCACCTACTCCTATCCCACCTCCCCTCCCCCTACCACCTACTCCCATCTCACCTCCCCTCTCCCCCCCTTACCACAGGATTTCAGCCCACCACGCCTCCCCATACCACCTACTCCCATCATTGCTCCCCTCCCCCTACCACATACGACATACTCCCATCTGACCTCCCCTTCCCCTACCACCTACTCCCTTCTCATCTCCCCTCCCCCTACCACCTCTCCTGGCCCTATCAGGCACTCCTTGCTCACCTCCCCTCCCCCTACCAGGGGCACTCTTCTCACCTCCCCTCCCCCTACCAGGGGCACTCTTCTCACCTCCCCTCCCCCTACCAGGGGCACTCTTCTCACCTCCCCTCCCCCTACCAGGGGCACTCTTCTCACCTCCCCTCCCCCTACCAGGGGCACTCTTCTCACCTCCCCTCCCCCTACCAGGGGCACTCTTCTCACCTCCCCTCCCCCTACCAGGGGCACTCTTCTCACCTCCCCTCCCCCTACCAGGGGCACTCTTCTCATCTCCCCTCCCCTCCCCCTTCTTTCCCCCTCCTCTACCAAGGGCGTTCTGCTCACACCCTGCCCCACACTCCTATTCTCCCATGTTTGGTCCCCCAGCATTCCCTTGCTCGGTTTCTGTGCTTGTGTTTCAGGTGGGGAGCCTTCCCAACTGGACATCCTACTATCTGCGCCTCACAGGGCACATACGAGCCAGCAACCTGGGCATGGATAGGCAGTGATGGCAATGGGAATGGCAGGGGAGCGTGGCAACGGCCACGAGCAAAGTAGCGTCAAGCCTCTTGGTCACTCGGCCCGTCCTTATATGGTCCAAAACATTAGCACATAAACACACCCTTTCACATCCCCTTTTAGGCATTTCTTACTGACCCAACACATGTTTCAGTGTTTTTTATCAACTGGTTATTGACTGCGGTGTTCTGTGACATCGTTCCAGGTTGCTTACATCACCAGTTCTATAGCATGAACGCTACTATAACACAGTACGTAATCCAATCAGTTTGGTTACAAGTAAAAGTAGAGGCAATCCATCCATACCAACTTAGCAATGTACGATTGGTCAAGTGTGCAGCCAACGTCTACTTATAGGCGACGCGGGAAATGTGACGGAGATGGCAGGCAATGGGGAGGATAGCCGAGCGAGGAAAGGGTGCACGCAGCAGCTCGCCTTTCTAGGACACCACAAGCTTCTGGGGCTGCCAGGCGGACCAGTCATTGGAGGTCAACTCCAGCAGCACCACATTCATTTCTGCATAGCAAATATGCCCGTTGCCGTCCGTCCACACTGCCCCAAACCTGCAGGAGGGATGGGGAGAGAACGGATGCGTAGAGGATGGATGGGGGGAGAGAAGGGATGCGTAGGGGATGGATGGGGAGAGAAAGGGAAGAGAAGCAGAGATGGGGTGAGGCAGAGATGGGGTGAGGCAGAGATGGGGTGAGGCAGAGATGGGGTGAGGCGGAGATGGGGTGAGGCGGAGATGGGGTGAGGCGGAGATGGGGTGAGGCGGAGATGGGGTGAGGCGGAGATGGGGCGAGCAGCGCGTTGGTAGTACGGTACTGGAGGTGGAAAGTGGAAACTGTGGGTACGGGGAGGGAGGGTAAGCAAGGGAAGGGAGCATAAAGAGGGGATGCAGGGGGGGAAAGGAGGGGAAGCACGGGGGGAAAAGGAGGTGAAGCAAGGGAGCGAAAGTAGGGGATGCAGGGGTGAAAAGAAGGGGAAACATGGGGGGAAAGGAGGGGATGCAAGGGGGGGAAAGGAGGGGAAGCAGTGGGAGAACGGAGGAGGGGATGCAAGAGGAGAAAGGAGGGGAAGCAAGGGGGAAAAGGAGGGGAAGGGGCGGAAAGGAGGGGAAAAAGGGGGGGAAGGAGGGGAAACACGGGGGGAAAAGGAGGGGAAACACGGGGGGGAAGGAGGGGAAACACGGGGGGAAGGAGGGGAAACACGGGGGGGAAGGAGGGGAAACACGGGGGGAAAGAGGGGAAACACGGGGGGAAAAGGAGGGGATGGAGGGGGGAAAAGGAGGGGAAGCAAGGGGGGAAAGGGGTGGATGCATGGGGAGAAAGGAAGGGACGCAGGGGGGGGAAAGAGGGGATGCAGGGGCGAAAAGCACGGGAAGCAAAAGGGGAAAACAAGGGGAAGTAGGGGGGGAATTGGGGGAAGGGAGGGCGCAGGGGGGAAACTCATGGCATTTCTCTGGCGCGCGCGTGTCTGGAACCGCGTGCTGTTTGCTGGCGCGCGAGCGTCACTTGCGCTCGATGTGCTGGCGGCGTCGATAAGAAGGTGCGTGCCGCTTTGCTGCGCGCGTTTCGCTGGCGCGCGCTGCTCTGCTGAGCGCGCCTACGCGCGCTGTGCTGGCGCGTGCGGAATGCCTGCATAGCTGGCGCAAGTTCCGCGCGCGAAACGCCAGCATAGCTGGCGCAAGTTCGGCGGGAGAAACGCCAGCATAGCTGGCGCAAGTTCGGCGGGAGAAACGCCAGCATAGCTGGCGCAAGTTCCGCGCGCAAAACGCCAGCATAGCTGGCGCAAGTTCCGCGCGCGAAACGCCAGCATAGCTGGCGCAAGTTCCGCGCGCGAAATGCCAGCATAGCTGGCGTGACGCTCGCAGGTGGCGCCTGTAATGCGCATGGCTAATTAATCACCCGCGTCTATGTATGTGGTTGCGGTGCTGGTCTAGCACCCTCCGGCCCGCGCCTAAGTTATTTCCACCTATTCTATTAGCTATTAGTCGCGACGGTATAGAATACTGTTGGTCTATTCTCCTTGGTGTGAGGTGGAAGGTGAATTCGGTGACGGGAGCCCTTTCCCATTTTCTGAATCACTAACCTTCCCAACCCTGCTTCCCTAATGACAGAAGCGCCCCAGTTGTTCGCCAACACTCTCGCAATTCTGTTTTTCTTTTTGTTGAGGCGAAATCGCCATGCACACTGTACAGAAACAACAGTACTCCTGCTTTAATCGACTTGGTTGGTTTGGGACGTGACGGTCAGTCAGGCGTTGAGCCGAACGCACTGTGGAATTTATGCAAGGAAATCGGAGCTTTTCCATACCCGCTTCAACCAGAGATTGTACTCCCAACGACGAGAACGGAATCAATCTGAAAAAGTGTAAGGAATTTTCTCTATATTCCTTAGCGCACCCTGCAACATCGCGTACAGCAGCAGCCGTTGTTCGCCCGTTACTGCTAACGGGGCTTCACCGACTTCGCGCGCACTGTTTCACCATGTTGGGCTGAGACGCCCTAGGATCTTTGTAGAGTTAAAGTCTGAGTAAAATGATGTAATAGCGGAAGCGTTTTTTAATAAAGTCCTTGAACCACCTTGCGCTAGTATGTGAGGGCAAAGTAAGTTGATTAAAACAAAGGGATACAGGAATATATATGTATATGAGTACGGAGAATATGAAGAGACATTATAACTACTTTACTGTTGCGGTTCCATACAGTGCGACTCGGGCAACTGCTCAATGTCGAGTCAGTTGTGTGTCCTTGCTGTCGCGCTGTATTTGTCAGGTCAAAGGTCGCTGACCTTTGACTTTCGCGTAACCTCCAGCGGTTACATCAACCTCCGAGGGTTGACTCGCTGGTGCTTCGATTGCGTTGCTTCGCTTGTGTCTTAGAGTTTCGACACGACAGAGGCGCTTTAAGGCTATTTGTTCCCAACACACAAAACCTCGCACTGCTGGCCTGGCCGTGTCGGCCTACGCCTCGGGACTAGCCCGAGCCTCGCTTCCAGCATAGCACTAGCTAGCTCGCACGAACCGCGTTACCGTTTGCATGTTTCGCGTATAAATGTTCGCTCATGCCTTCGCTCACATTTTGTACTCGTTTGACACCTTAGTGCAATTCTCGCTACTTCGATTAATTGCACCCGTAACACTTGGTATCAGAGCCTCTTTCTTTTCGGACCGCGCATCTCCGCACCCCAGGAAGTCAACTTTTGATTTTTCACTCGAAGGGACTCACGCACCTTAGCACCTAGGAGTCGCTGTCCTCGTGTTCTCTCGTAAACGCGTGCAGCCACAACTGCGCCTAGACTAAGACGAGCCGACGCCCTTCGAAATGGCTGAACATATCGACGTCACGACTCTCACGCAGGAGCACTTGAACGATCTGCTGCGACAAATCCGCGAGAGCGCCGAGGAAATCGCAACGCTGACGGCAGAACGCTCTTCCCTGCAAAACGACCTCACACGAGCACAATCCCAAGCACCTGACACTCCGATTCAGCCCGCACGACAGTCATCATAGCACGGAAGTGTGGGGCAACCCGCGAGCGCCGCGAGTGATGGCTGTCAGAATATTATTCTTATGTTCTAGCCTGTAGTGGGGTGCTTTATAGCGAGTACAACCCTTCTAGGGTTTGCTATTTGTATCCCCATTTCTGCTAGTTCATTCCTCTTTCTTTCTTCTAATTTTGTCATGCTATCAGAGCAGGTCGATCCCCTTGGATCGATCCTGTGGGTGGGTTACCACCTCCCGTCCGCTGCTACTTTTTCCTCCCGCCGTGCGCCCCGAGGCGCGCGGCGGTTTTCTGCCCGCCGTGCGCCCCGAGGCGCGAGGCGGTTCTTTGCCCGCTGTGCGCCCCGAGGCGCGCGGCGGACTTCTGCCCTACGTCGCGGCCCCGCCCTGCGTCGCGGCCCAGCCCCTCGAAGCGGCCCCGACCGTCGCGGCCCCGCCCCTCGACGCGGCCCCGCCCTACGTCGCGGCCCCGCCCTGCGTCGCGGCCCCGCCCCTCGAAGCGGCCCCGCTCTACGTCGCGGCCCCGCCCCTCGTCGCGGCCCCGCCCGGACCGTCGCGGTCCCGCCCCTTGTCGCGGCCCCGCCCTCCAACCAGGCCCGTGGTGGGCCCCTTTCACCACACCCCCCCCCCCCCCCCCCCCCCCCCCCCCCCTTCCCCTGCCATTTCCCGTCGTCCGTCGAGGCGACCTGAGGGGGCCGCTGTGGGGTGGCGGGTATGGGGGTGGCCGGTGTGCCTTCCTCCCTTGCTCCTCCTCCTCCTTCGTCTCCCACTGCTGCAGCTTGTCAGAACATATCTATAGCTTATACTGCTATGTAGGCTGTAGTGGGGTATCCCATAGGGGGTACAACCCAGTTAGGGTTTCATATTTGTACTCCTTTCATTCATAGTTCATTCATTCCTGTTTTCCTACTTTCACATGGTATAGAGCGGGTCCTACCTTAGGACCGTTGTCTGGGCCCACCGACGCGCGCCCCGAGGCGCGCCCTTTTTTTTTTAGCGACCCCTCGGGTCGCCTTTTCACTCGCGGCCCCGCCGCCTCCTCTGACGCGGCTTTGCCGCCTCCCCTGACGTGGCCCCGCCGCCTCCTTTAACGCGGCCCCGCCGCCTCCCTTGACGCGGCCCCGCCGCCTCCCTTGACGCGGCCTCGCCGCTTCCCCTGACGCGGCCCCGCCGCCTCCCCTGACGCGGCCCTGCCGCCTCCCTTGACGCGGCCCCGCCGCCTCCCTTGACGCGGCCCCGCCGCCTCCCCTGACGCGGCCCCGCCGCCTCCCCTGCCGAGGCCCCGCCGCCTCCCCTGACGCGACTCCGCCGCCTCCCCTGACGCGGCCCCGCCGCCTCCATTGACGCGGCCCCGCCGCCTCCCCTGACGCGGCCAAGCCGCCTCCTCTGACGCGGCTCCGCCTCTCTTGCACCTGCCGGCCCGCCGCTGCACCTGCCGGCCCGACGCTGCACCTGCCGGCCCGACGCTGCATCTCCCGGCCGAGCCGCCCCAACAGCCGAGCCGCCAGGGACCCGAGCCGCCCTGCCGCCGAGCCGCCCGGGAGCCGAGCCGCCCTGCACCCGAGCCGCCCAGCCGCCGAGCCGCCCGGGAGCCGAGCCGCCCTGCACCCTAGCTGCCCAGCCGCCGAGCCGCCCGGGAGCCGAGCCGCCCTGCGCCCGAGCCGCCCAGCCGCCGAGCCGCCCGGGAGCCGAGCAGCTGTGCACCCGAGCCGCCCGGTCGCTGAGCCGCCTTTCTGCTGACTGCACGACCTGCCCTGCCTGGTGAGCACTGTCCCACTGACACTGCGAGCTCTTTCCCTACTGCTTGCACTGCGTCGCTGTCGTCACCATGGCTACCCCTAGTGTCCTAGCTTTTGACGCTGAGGGTCGCGCCATTGATTTTGAGGTCTGGTTAGACGACCTGCAGCTGTTCTTACAGTGCGACAGGGCTGACGACCTTTCTCTCTTTGACCTCACCTCTGGCGCCTCTCCTGCCCCTGCTGCTGATGCTGATCCCGCTGTCCGCTCTAAGTGGGCCACCCGCGATGCTGCTGCACGTCTTGCTGTGCGTCGCCACCTCCCTACCTCTGAGCGTGCGCACTTTAGTCAGTACAAGAGTGCTCAGACCTTGTACGACGCTGTAGTTGCGCGCTACTCCTCCCCTGCCACTGCCGCACTGAGCCGTCTCATGCTTCCCTACCTCTTTCCTGACCTCTCTGCCTTTCCCACTGTCGCTGACCTCATTACGCACCTCCGCACTAGTGACACTCGCTACCGCGCCGCCCTTCCTGCTGAGTTCTGCGCTAAGAACCCCCCCCCCATGTACATCGCTCTCTACTACGTAGTCGCACGCCTCCCTGACTCCCTTCGCGTCGTCAGGGACCACTTTCTCGCAGTCTGTCCCACCACTCTCACCGTCGACCTCCTCGAGAAGGCCCTCCTTGCAGCGGAGAAGAGCATAGTCGCTGTAGGTGCTTCTCGTGGTGACCCTCGCACCCCCATCTTTGAGGGGTGCTCTCCTTCCCCCTTGCTGCCCTCTGTTGCCTCTGCTGCTGCTGCCGACCTGCTTGGTCTTGAGTCGGTCGGCGCGGCGTCTGCCCCTAGTGGGAGACGTCGCTCCAGCAAGGGCAAGGGAGGCAAGGGCGCGGGTGGAGCTGGAGGGGGCGGTGGCGGTGGCGGCGGTGGCGGCGGAGGGAGTGGGGGTGGCGGCGGGACTAGTGGCGGGGGTGGTGGTGGTGGTGGCGGCAGCAGCGGCGGAGACGGTGGTGGTGGTGCCAGCGGTGGTGGTGGAGGCAGCGGCGGAGGTGGAGGCGGCGGAGGTGGAGGCAGTGGAGGCGGCAGCGGAGGAGGCAGTAGTGGTGGAGAAGGTGGAGCGGGTCGGGGTGGTACCCAGCAGCGTAGCGGCGGTGGTGGTGGCCAGCGCTCGCACCGGCAGCAGCAGCAGCAGCGCTCGCGGGACATCCCTTCG